CGCTGGGGGCCCCCCCCCGCCCGCCCCCGCCCCCCCCCCCGAGCGCTGCCTCCCGCTAAGGCCCCCCAGGCATGGTGCGCCCCCGCGGTTGGTCTGGGGCCGCGGGGACACCGGGGCCGGCAGGCCACCCTGCCCCCCCCGGGCTCGCCCCCAGAGCCATCTGCGCTGCTCTGCCCGGGAGCCCCTAGTCCCCCGCACCTCCTGGGCAGGGCTCTGCTGCCCACCCGGAGCCAGGGCCTTGGCCCTGCGGGGTCCTGCCCCGCCACTGCAGCTCGGCATTGCAGCAGGCGTAGGGAGCTGGGCCTGGGCTGTCTCTCCACCAGCCCCTGCTCCCGGCCACTCGCCTGCCCCAGGGGCCCCCCAGCCCCTTTGCGTGGCTGGTGAGCGCCCACCCTGCCGGCGGCGTGCCAGGCTCCAGGTCAGCCTGCGGCACGAGGCAGCCTGAGGAGCGAATGCTGCTCCAGCTCCGTTAAGGTGCCTCGCAAGGACCGGTGGGCATCACTCGCTGCCTTCGACAATGAGTGGTGAATAACATGGGGACATACTCAGTGGCGAGAGGAGGGGGGCATGGACTGCCCGACCCCTGTGGCTCTGTCCCCTTGCTGTCCGCAAGGCCTGTGCTCCGGTCCGCATGCTCGGCAGCCGTGCCAGGCCGTGCCAGCAGCTCCTGCTCTCATGCTGAGGCACGGTCCCAGCTGCCTGGCAGATGGGGTTCTGTTTCAAGGGCTGCGCTTCCCCACAGCCTGTGCGCAGAGCCCAGCACCGGGACAAAGCCCGCTCAGCGACTCTGGGAGCTGGATGCTGTGAGGGCTGAAAGCCACCGTCTGCAGCAGACATTCTGCCATCAGAAATACTTTCCTTCCCGCTCTCAGATGGCAGCCCCAGTTGGGGAGCAGGACCAGGCACCTCAGGGCCCACTGAGAAGGTCAGGAGAGCCATCACCGGCCTCATCCTCACCCCGTGGGCCACACTGTCCCACCTGCGCAGCACTGACACAGCCGCGCTCAGGGGACAGTGCTCCAGGGATGCTGTGGCACTGCTGCACTGTGGGCCTGAGCCAAGGAGGCAGGGGAGTCCCTCAGTGTGGGGCTTGAGGTGGGGTCAAGGGTTCCCCTGGCAATAGTCAGGCCCTTGCAGGATGCCCCGTTCTGGTGTCTGCGCTTCAGGCAGTGCTTGTGAAAGGGGACCGGAGGCTGAAGGGGCCACCCCGTCCCACACAGGGGAGCAGCCTCACACCTGCGCCTCTGGGGCTCTCAGAGCTGGACCCAGCCAGGTGGGCATCAGCAAAGGGGAACGGCCCAGGGTGCTTCCCGGGGTCACGGGCATCTGTTGGGTCTCACAACAGGGCCGCAGGGCTCCAGGTCAGGCACAGCATGGGGACAGCTGGGCGCACGGCTTAAGGCTGGTAGTGGCAAGGCTTCGGCTGCGTGTCACTGCCCTTCTGGCTCCTAACACCATCCTGGGGGCACATCTGGGGCATGGGGCCAGCAAGCCAGCCTGAGGCAGCTGCAGGGTGGTGGGCTCCGTTCCTGTCATCGATTCCTGGGGCACAGGCACTACCCCAGGGGCTGCAGGAAGATGGGTCTGTGCCCAGCCAGGAAGCAGAAGTGCGCACTGAGAGCCTGGCACAGACTTCCCCCCACTGCCATGGGACAGTGGCGCTGCGTGGGGCTGGGGAAGGTCTGTTCTCCTGTGTGATGGAGGGGGGCTGGTGTTGGAGCCCCACGGTGTCGGCCATGGGAGCAGGACCGGCTGCTGTCCCCGGGTCTGGGGCAGCGGCACAGTGAGGGGGGGCCTGGAGCAAGCTTTATGGCCTGGGTCAGGCTGCGCTCAACACCTTCACACCACTGCTGCTTCCTACCAGCCGGGCGCGGCAGTGCTGGAGAGTGCCCAGCCTGCCTCTGTGCCCCTCACTACCCGCCCGCCCTGGTGCCAGGGGTCTGTCTGAGGGCTGACCGCCCGGCTTGGTCAGCTGCAGGGCGGAGATGACAGGGTTTCCCGAGGCGCCCAGGACAGGCCCTGCAGCAGGGTGTCAGGGCAGGTCATGGCCGTGAGGCTTGTTACTCTGCTGTGCGCGGCGTGGTGGGCTCCTGCAGGCTCCTGGGTGCTGCTAGGGCAGGTGCAGCTGCCTGGCCCCTCCTGGCTGTGGTCCCCTCCTTGGGACGGGCCCTGCTGGGACTGGTGGCACAAGCGGAGGGGCTGTGCCTGGGCCAGCTGGGCTGACACCGTCCCATCCCCATGGTCTTCTCAGCAGACACCCTGGTGGGGAAGATCGCCATCCCGGCGTACACGCTGAGCGACGACGACTGCTCCTCTGGGTACCAGCAGCTCAGTGTGGAGAGCGACCCCGAGGAGGGCGGAGAGCCCGGCCCCGCAGCGCTGCCCTGCCGCCAGTGTGGGCTGCAGGTGGCTGCCAGCCTGGGGCAGAGCTGCCTGCAGTGCGCCGGTGCTGAAGGGGGCCGCAGCCAGCGCATCGTGTACTCCTGCCAGCTCTGCCCCTTCGCCTCCCACTACTCCAGCCACCTCAAGCGCCACATGAAGACACACAACGGGGAGAAACCCTTCGCGTGCCCGCAGTGTGCCTACGCCTCTGCCCAGCTGGTGAACCTGACGCGACACCTGCGCACACACACAGGGGAGAAGCCCTACCGTTGCACGTGCTGCAGCTTTGCCTGCAGCAGCCTGGGCAACCTCAAACGCCACGAACGGGTCCACAGTCAGGACAAGCCCTTCCAGTGTGCCGCCTGCGACTATCGCTGCAACCAGAGCCGCAACTTGAAGCGGCACATGCTCAGCCACCGCCTGCCCGAAGGCGAGGGGCCACACCGGCGGGACAAGGAGCCAGGTAAAAGGCAGGGGTGCAGGGGAGGGCTGCTGTGGGGGAGCCCCACGGCACAGCCCCGGGGCTGGGGAAGGGGCAAGGCGCATGTCCTGCCATCGACCTGTGCCAGGCTGCTGCCACGTGCCACCAGCCTCAGCCGGGGCACCGTTGCCCCCGGGGCTCCTGGTGGAGCTGAGCCCTGCCAGCGCTGTGCTGCCCTGCTCAGGGCCCTGCTTGTTTTTGTCCCACAGAGCCGCTGCTGCCGGAACTGAGCCTGCACGTGGGCAGTGGCAGCGGCCCTTTCCTGCCCGGCTGCGCTCGACTGCGGAGCGAGGAGGCAGCCGCGCTGCCCGAGCTGCTCTTCCCCTTCACGTGCCGCATGTGCGGGCTGGTGCTGGACGACGGTTTCGCGCAGGATGAGGGCCTGGCTGAGCAGGTCTGCGGGCGCTGCAGTCTGGCAGTGCTGGGCACTGAGCCGGGTGCCAGCCCCCGCAAGGGCACTGGGGACAAAGGCTTTGCCTGCAGCCTCTGCCCCTTCGTCACCCACTACCCCAACCACTTGGCGCGGCACATGAAGACGCACAGCGGGGAGAAGCCATTTGCCTGCCCGCTCTGCCCCTACGCCTCCGCCCACCTCGACAACCTGAAGCGGCACCAGCGAGTGCACACAGGCGAGAAGCCCTACAAGTGCCAGCTCTGCGACTACGCCTGCGGCAACCTGGCCAACCTCAAGCGTCACGGGCGCATCCACTCAGGCGACAAGCCCTTCCAGTGCAGCCTCTGCAGCTACAGCTGCAACCAGAGCATGAACCTGAAGCGGCACATGCTGCGGCATACAGGCGAGAAGCCCTTCCAGTGCCGGGACTGCCCCTACACCACTGGCCACTGGGACAACTACAAGCGCCACCAGAAGATCCACGGCCACACGGCTGAGAGCTGGGTAAACCCGCGCAATGCCAAAGCCCTCCTGGCCCCTCCAGCCGTGGGCACAGCCCTGCCCTGAGACAGCACTTAGCCCAGCTGCAGGGGCTTGGCCCTGCATCGGGCCCGGGATGCCTCAGCCCCGGGGCACCCCAGCCACTTGCCGGCTGTGGCCCCTGCCCTCCCTGGGGGAGGGACAGGCAGCAGACTCCACAGGGGGCTCAGGGCTGCCTTACGCAGAGCCCGCGGGTGCACCGGGGTCTCCAGCAGCCCTGTCCTGCCCGGGCAGGATGAAGCCACAACCGGCGGCTCGGGTGCCTGCCCCAGCAGCGGTGGTGCCCTGCCCCCAGGCACCCCCAAGGGCAGTTCCTGCCTGTTGGAGCTTTCTTCTGCCGGAGTTTGGGGAAAACGGGGGGAGGGGGAAACGGAGCTGGTTCCATGGCTGTTGCCATGCCAGTCAGTGTAATTTATATTGTGTATAAAAGCATTAAACAGTCAGTTTTGTTATCTGCTATTCTCCCTGGGGGCCTTGTTCTGCTTCAGGAGAGGACAGCGCAGGGCTGGTAAGGTGTGCAGGGAGGGGAGGGACAGGGGCCACCCCCCAACAGACAGCCCAGTACCAATCAGGATCCATTTTAATCATCATTGCAGTGTGTAAACATCAGTTACTGTCCATTAATGCTCTGGTTGGTCTGAGCAGCAGGAGATACGTGGTTACAAGCCTAGATTACGCTGGAGTCTATGAGCGGGTTAGAGAGGGGGCTCTGCGCAGAGCCCCCTGGAGACAGTTTACTGCACTCTGTCTCTGAGCAGAAACCTAAACGCTAATTTGGCATTATGGAGCCTCACAAGGGCCGCTCACTGCTGCCAAGCCGCTGCCCCAGCCACTCTGGGGCAGCTGCCCTCCTGCGCAGCTGGGCGCTCGGGCCAGGCCCTCCTGGCTGGGGAAGGGGCAGCTCTGCCCCCCGCGCTGAGCCAGGCTCTGTGACGCTGCGCCAGGGCTCAGCCTGGGCACGCTGCTCAGGTTTGGCTAGTGCCGCCCTGGGAACAAGCCTTCTCCCAGCTGGAGCCAGCAGCAGGAGGAGTTCAGCTGCCCCTACCCCGAAGGCAACAGTGGGCTGGGGGTGAGCTCCCCAGCCCGGGGGAGCAGGGGAAGGTGGATGTAGGAGGTGAGAGGCACGTTGATTGCAACCCGTCTGCAGGTCGTACATTCCTCAGCGAAGGCCCTCAAGAAGGGGGGCACTACAGATCTTCATCGCCAATGCCCTCAAAGGCGTAATTGCCATGGAAGTCGTTAGCGCCCACATCGTTAGCAGAGCTGGAGTGGCTGATCCCTCGCAGGCTGACAGAGGTGAGCTTGCTCTGTGGAGAGGGGAGACGTTAGGGAGGACCCCCGCTCCCCCCCGCTCAGTCTGAGGGTGACGGCACCGGTGCGCCCACACACAACTCACCGAGAGTTTGGCCATCGGCTCCCGGGAGGCATCGGGCGAGTCCTGTGGGGACAGCACCATCAGACAGCGCTGAGGTGGTGGGACGCGCCCAGCCTTCCCACCAGCCCCAATCTCCCTGCCCTCAGCCACCACTCGCCCTCCTGGGACAAGGCCAGGCTACCGCTCCCTTCCCTCCCCCAGGGAGTCCGGTTCCCAGGTATGGGTCCAGGACCGCTTTCTCTTTCCAGGGCTATGGGAGTGGGGAGTGCCCTCCCCACTACCAGCCCTGCCGAGGGGACAGTGGCACCTCTGGGGGCAGTGGGCTCTGGTACCCGACACACAGCGAAACCCATGGTCGCACTTATCTCCCCTACCAGGGCTGCAGGGTCCCACTCACCAGCAGTGGCGGGGATTTCACAGCTTGCTGGCTGTCAGAGCGCCGCAGGGCCCCATTCGCCCGCCGGCGAAACATCTGCAGGAGAGGAGCTCAGGTCAGCGGCAGGGTCCCCACAGGCAGCTCCAGAGGTTAAGATGGCCCCTGGGGATCCTTCAGCTGGCCCCAGCCTGAGGAGAGCAAGCAGGGCCCAGCCTAGACCCCAGGGAGTCACAGGGGCAGGATGGGATCCCACCCCAGAGACAGCATCCAGCCCCAACCTTCACCTTGCGGATGCTGCCTCCAGACTTTTTCACCATCAGCTCGTCCACCATGGACTGCAGGCAGATGCTCAGCATGATGGCCTGCAAGGGAGAGGTGGCATGAAGCTCCACGCACCCCACGGCCTTCCTGACACACCACACCCAGCCCAGTCTGCTGCCTTGCTCCCATCCTTGTCCACCACTGGCCTGGTACACAGGCAGCCCTACCTGTGGACTGGTGATGGTGACCCACTGCAGCCGGTCCTTGCTCATTAGATACTCGAAAGCCAACTCCAGCTTCACCTCGGACTTCCCCGGGCTGCTCCCCGAGGGACCATTGCTCATCGGCACCTGCAAGGGCACGTGCTGAGGCTGGGAGCCCCCGGAGGGAAAGCGGCCAGCTTCCCAGGCCCCTGTGCTGACAGAGGGCAGCCCCCAGCTGGGTGTTGGACACCCTGCCCAGCTCCCACTGGCCTTCCACCACCGTCAGGTCCCCTCGCAGCAGCAGCCCCCTCAAATGTCCTCACACCGATGACCCCCTCAGCCCCAAACCACAACTGAGACCCTGCCCACACCAGCTGGGCTGGAAGCAGGCAACACAGCCAGCAGTTTTCCCAGGGAGAGGTGCCAGAGCAGCCTGGCACAGCCAGGTCCCGCCAGACCCACAGAGCCCTCCCTGCTCCCCAGGGTCCCGCAGGCAAGTGGCACTCACTGAGGACGTGACCCGCCAGCACCGCATGCGTGTGACCTTGAAGCTGCCTTCCTTGATCTGCTCGTTCGGCAGCCGCACCTGGAAGTTGAGCTCGTTGTTGCCAGCACTGACGACGACGTGGCATCCCTTCTCAGGAAAGTCAGTGATGCAGGGGTCAAACTTGAGATAGCCGTAGTACTTCAGGGTCTGCGCCAAGCGGATGAACTGCGGGCAGAGCCAGGGAAGCTCAGCACAGATGACTGCCCTCCCACCACACCTCCCAGGCCAGGAACAGGCAACGAACTCGGCACCACGCGTTCACACGGGAGCGGTGCCAGTCCAGTGCTGGGACTGCTCCAGTCACAGCATCGTGGCCTCCCCTACCTCCTTCTTGGAGACTTTTTCCTGCAGGGACTTCAGCTGCCGATGCTGTTCCTTGTTGACAAGGATCCATCCATGCTCGATGTCCGACACCGTCTACCAAGAAGCAGAGGCTGGTGAGCAGCTGGGTCCAGAGCCACCTGAGACCCTGCACAGCTGTAGCTGAGGGGTGCAGTGCCCCTCCTCACCCAGCGGGGCCACACTGACCCTTACCTGCGCATACAGCAAGTTCAACCCCACACGGTGCTCCATTACATCGTCGTCATAGGAGGAGTCCCAGTAGCTAGAAAGGAGCCACATAGGTCAACCTATTCCCCAGCTCCTAACAGCGATGGGGAGAAAAACACCCCCCATGCTGGGACAAGGCACCAGGCTGGCTCTCTGGCCAGCTCCCCTGGTAGCCATCAGTTGCCATGCCCCACTCCCCCTCTCAAGCAGCTGCCAGAGGCGGGAAGGGTCATATCGGGGAACGTGGAAACAAGGGCCAAGCCCAGCAGCACAGCCTGGCCCCCGATGTCATGGCCAGGGATGCCCAGGTGCGTTCCTGGGGGCCAAAGCACCCCGCGGGCAGCGACGGCAGGAGGGGAGGGGTCCCTCTGCAGAGCAGGGAGCCCCAGACACCATGCCACTGCTCCAGCAGTCGGTGCCCCTCCGGCCCTGTTGCTCACCTCTTGCGCAGGATGATCCTGAACTCAGGGTTGTGCAGGCTGGTGACGGACACATATGGCAGCTCAAACTCCTGCAGCTTTCGCACGACTACGGGGAAACAGCAGCTCAGTAGTGACTCAGGGCAGCAGGAGCCCACTGGGCCCCCGCCAGCCAGGGCACCTCAGGGGAGCCCGCTGGATCCCCCCCACCCAGGGCAGGGCCAAGCACACAGCTCTCACTCTGGGGCAGGGCGCAGGGCAGACGTCCCACCACAGCCCTCGCAGAGCTCCAGCACGCTCTACTCACAGGAGAAAGCTCCGTCCTTGGTCTCTCTCACTAGGAAGAGGCTGAAGTAGCCGACCAGGTCATCTGGCAGATCCAGCTTGGAGGCCACGGCCTGGGAGCAAGAGCAGGATGTCACCACTTCCCGCAGAGACATCCTTACCCCGCGGCAGGATCCAGCCTGTGTGCATTCTGGGGCCTCCCAAGAGCAGGAAGGCAGCACCTCTGCTGCACTGGGAGCCAGGGCAGGGGGGGCAAGTGGACAAGTGTGGGGGGCCCAGGGGATCACTCCCACCACGGAACAGCTGGGGGCCTCCCGATATCAGTCTGGGCCCAGAGAGGGGCACGAGCACATCAGCACACCCCTTCCAGCTCCACCGCTC